GCCGACAACCCCCGACCGGTAGGTGCCGACCAGCCGACCGGTCGGCGGGTCGGCAGCCAACCAGTCAAGGGTCGCCGACGGACGGCGTGTGCAACACTGACCCAAACATAATTTCCCACTTCGATTGTCGATGGTGTGCGCTTCTTATTCGCATGATGGATCATGGCGTGTTGTCACTTGGTCATTGCTCCAATGGCAACTTTGAGCAAGCGATCATATTGGCACTGAAGCCAGGCCTGCCAGATGTCAAACCCGCTGGTGGTTCAGGGAATAAGTAGGAGAGCGGACTATGGATCTGCCAATCGTAATGCAGCCTGCTAGGCGTCATGCCAGTGGGCGAATGAATGGAGTTGTTGTACAACCCCTTGAATACAACTCTTCATCCCACGTTTCCTGATCCGGGATAATTAAGGCACGACGAAGCTGAAACACAGTCTGGTTAATTTCCTCAGCCAAACTATTGGCTTCAGAGTGTCCGCGAGATGTCATACTTAGTTTGAGGTCAGGGAGCTGGGTCGTGAAGTCCTTCCTTATGAAGCGCACGTCCCAATCACTCGTAAGATTTTTTGAGATTCTGGTGGAATTCTTGGATCACGAGTTTCGTTGGGGCACGAGGAGGCAAGAGAATCACATTCAGAAACTAAGAAAAGCAATTAACAATCACCATCACTTGTGAATACCCATACTTGTTTTTCCCATTTCTGTGAAGTTGATGGAGACTGACTCTCTGAGACCGTTGGGAATGGGAAGGGGTTTGAGCAGCGGTATCGACTTTTGCCTTTATGGGTTGATTCGTTGACAGACTTGACACTCAACCAGAAACTTCACAGCAGATCCTTTCATAGAAGGTCAATCAAGATGTTACAACAAGTTTCCGTCGGTTTTTGCAATGTCGAAGTGTCGACTACGACCATGAGCCGAATCCAAGAAATGTGTGTGGAGAGGCTCATGGTTGGGTACACACAAACGGTCATTCTTTCCATAGCGTCGGAAAACCAATCCTTCGCATACGTGAAAATCACGCTGATTGTTGGGGTCAGCCCGCAACTGCTCAAGGATTGGACCAAGGTTCGGGTCCGTGGGAGTTTGCTCCACGAGCTCCTCCTTCAGTTTCTTTCGGAGGTCGTAGGAGTTCACAAGGCAAGTCATATACTCGGGGTGGCGGGACAATGCATCAACAAATCGATTATAACAACCCTTTTTGTGTTTTTGCTCAAAGTCAAAAATGTTAATCTTGTGGAGCCAACTAGTCAATGTAGGGGACAAAGTGGTATGCTCCTTGATCCATTTCAAGGTCTCATGGTCTGAGAAGACCTTGAAACGACATCCCAAAAGATCGTGCTTCCAATCATTCAATGCCTCGCACATAGAATAGAGCTCGAGCATGTAGGTGGAAGTAGCAACCTTTTCACTGGGCATGCGTTTGCTATAGTACTCGAGCGACCGCTAAGCAATCACCGTCATCTTGTTGCTGCACCACGCCAATCCCATACTGGCTCACTTCCGTAGTGATTACGAATGTGAGTTGGGAGGCTGCAGTGCGGAGCATAGGATAACTTACCAAGGCTTATTTCAAGGCTCGAAAAGCGGTCTCACATGTTGCATCCCACGTGTAAGATATGTTCTTGCTTGTTAGTTTAGACAGTAGGCAAGCAACAATAGAAAATTGGGGCACAAACTTCTGATAGTATGATGCAAGACAAAAGAAAAAACACAATTCACAGATGCTCGCAGGTTGAGGCCACTTGCCTATGACCGCAACCTTGGTTGCCTCAGGCTAGAGGCTTGCAACAGACAACCGTTGCCAAAGATAGATGACGTTGTCCCTCCCGATAGCAGATTTCTCTACTTTTAGATGGAGCTGCGTTTTCTTGAGGATGGTGAACACTTCCTCAAGGTGCTTCATGCGTTCTCAATCGATTTGCTGAAAATTTGAATGTCATCAAGATACATAACCACAAATTGACCAAGTTTTTCACGGGGGAACCTTCTCCATAAGACTTTGGAAGGTGGCCAGTGCGTTCGTGAGACCGAAGGGCATTACAATGAATTCGTAAAGCCCATCGGAGTTTTGAACGCAGTCTTGTGCTGGTTCGCAGGTGGTACCCAGGCTTGGGATCGATCTTGGAGAAAAGCTTGCACCCACCTGCAACATCAAGCAAATCATCTATATGTGACAATGGGTACGCATTCGGGTTTGTGATGCAGTTTAGATCGTTGTAATCAATACACATACGGAGTTTGCCTCCTTTCTTTGGGACAAACAAAACGGGTGCACCGGCTTTATCCATCCCTTGTCCATCACCTCATCGATCTGTTTTCAGGGTTCCTCTAACTCGCAGATCCCATACGGTAGGCACAACCTCGTGGAGGAACAACGCCTTCGACCAACTCAATCGTGTGTTTGACCGATCGCGTGGGAACTCCACGGGGCTCGACCAAAACTTCTGAAAATCGGTCGAGTAGGCTAGGATTGATGGTGGTGATGGAATTAGAAAATGGATCACCTGTACCAGGTTGCATATTATTAGTAAAGGCAACGAAATGTGAAGTAGACTAATTTGAAATTGTCGGTTCGAAAATACTCGGTTTGACCTTTCAGGAGGCCGAAACGAAACGACGGCCGCCGATCAGATTGATCAATATCGGGCTCGGCCTCCTGAAGGTTCGGGAGCTGGCAAGAACTTGTCGAAAATAGGCTCGGAGGTACTAGTGGTTTAAGACCCCATTTACAAGCCTTCTATCCCAAGTCGTGATAAGAGAACCACTAGGGTTGAGGATTTACAATCTCTCTCTCTCTCTCTCTCTCTCTCTCTCTCTCTCTCTCTCTTTCTCTCTCTCTCTTTCTCTGTGTGTGTGTGTGTGTGTGTGTGTGTGTGTGTGTGTGTGTCTCCCTTAAGAGCGCATGCGTGTGCACACGAAAAGGACAGAGAAGAGGGCCCCTCCTAGCCCCTTGCCCCCCCCCCCCCCCCCCCCCCCCCCCCCCCMAAACCCCCACGAAAATAACATTTCTTTGCTTTTTTTTTTTTTTTTTTAATATAAAACTGGCACGTTGCAATTGTCAATAGGGTTCAAAAACACGGCGCAATGAATCATATCCAGTCGGACAAATACGTGCAAAGAACAAACCCTGGCACACCCGATCGTACCCGATTTTTGAAAAAAATCAATCCACTCAAAAGTCCGATCATCGACAATCGTATGCCATTAAGGAAACGAGTTCGAATGAGTTCAGAGCCATATCCTATCTTGCTTGGAAAGCGGAGAACGAGTTATTCTCCCTTTCTCCCTCACAGTCTGGGAATCTACTCGCGCGTATTCGACCATTCAGCCTCCACTTCCCTTCACCTCTCCTTCTCGCGATGAGGGCGCGTTCGCTTAAGCCACATCGTTGATGGTGACTTCAACCTCCACACCGGGCTCGATGCTCATGCAGGTAATCTGCTTGACGACTTCCGATGGACTGTGGAGGTCAATCAGCCTCTTATGAATTCTCATCTCGAAGGAATCCCACATGTTCGTACCTTCTCCGCAAGGAGACTTCCTTGTAGTGATCCGCAGAACCTTGGTGGGCATTCTCATTGGACCCTTGACCTTCAAGCGCTTCTCCTTTGCGCCTTTGATCAAGTCGGCGCACACTTTCTCGAGGTTCTTCACATTGCGCGAAGTCAGCGTAATTCTGATTCAATGAACGACCTCCGCCTCTTCCATGCCCATCTTCCTTGGGCTCGCACCCTTCAACAACATGGCGGTCGACTTTTCGTCAATTTGTTTTGATTATCTGATCAACAATGTTGTCAGATACGTTGTCGGAGTTGGTCGTACGTGTACCGCACTTTGAAGACGCCTCGGTGGTGAAGGTGGCGCTATGAAACGGTTTTCACCTGTTAGCAGTAGCGAGTGCAGATCCCAGGGCTCGATCCCTAGTCATCACCTTACCTGTGTACAATATTTGTGTCGACCCCGAGAGTTGAACCCGTGACCCGTGTATTTGTAACAGCTGGTAGACTGTCGTAGGGTCCGTAGGTAGCAGGGGTTCGATCTGTAGATTTGTCGAGTAGAAGTCTTAGGGGGTTCTAGAAGTCGTAGTTGTAGAACTTCTGAACGGTCAAGGTCGTAGCTGCTATAGTCCTGAAGAGTCAAGGTCGTAGCTGCTACAGTCTTTGAAAGTCCAAGACCCAAACTTTCGGAAGGTCCTAGTATTGGCCTTTCGAAGTTGCTCACGTTTTGGCTGAGGCAAGTGGGCAAGTGGTGAGCCCAACCGCAGTACGTCGGCAGTGCGACTGCATCGAGTTGGCAGTGCAAACCCATGCCGTCAGCAGTACCGGTCCTAGTCAGTCCTAGTCCAGTCAGGCAAGGACCGCATGGGACTGTGTGCACCACGGGCATGGGAAAGGGCCAGACCAACGAGCTACAGAAGTATAAATCAAAGGGCAGCGTCCAGCGAT